GGACCATGGTGGCTCCTGCTCTGAGGTGCATTGGCCATCCCTCGAGTACAATGTTTATTTGGTTTTTGAGAAATATGCCCAAAATACCACAGGGTTCCTTCCTTCCTTCCCATTCTTTGAGCTAAATATGGAGTTACTGTACAAGGCAAAGGCACTCATGTGTGAACAGTGCAAAGGTTTCCGTCAAATCTGGTGACTCCAGAGCAGAGGCTGTCATCAATGTCTTTTTAAGATATGGAAAGGCTGTCTGTCATTCCAGAATGCAGTGTAACACACCTACGGATTCCTTTCATGATTCATACAAAGGCTTTTCCAATAGCTCATAACTGGGGATCCATAATCAACACAGTCTAGTCGTTCCCAAAAAGGCACACAGTCCTTTTACAGATCTGGGCTCTGCTTCCTCACTTTGTGTCACCAAACTACACTGTCCTTTTGAGTGTGGCAGCCAGGAGATCAGACATGGCAGATATGAACACAACCTTGAAAACAAACATAAGATGTCATTGGAAATGAGCTTTGAATGGTACTATTCAAAACATTTTTATGACATGTTATATTACCTCTCCACGTAATGACAGAAAACCACTTATTTTTGGTGCCACTTGACTGCAATGCGGAATACTCTTGGGCATGGGGAAAATGACAATAAACCCATAATAAACTGAGTATAAAATATTTTTCTACATGTGTCAGTAACTTCAATGGGCACCTGCAGTCAGCACAACTGTCAGCCTGGAATTGTGTTCATGCTCCTCCCTGGCCTTTCCATGTCAGCTCCTCCTGCAGAACACCCGGGGGCCTGGGCATGCTGCTGGCTTGTTTCCTTTGAGGAGACTGGGATGAGGAAAGGCCGGGGGTTGTGTCAAAGAGATGATATTTGAGTGACCATGTACGTGCTGGAAGCCTCACAGACTGATGGGCCCATGACAGGATGACCCAGAGCTGGCAGGGCTGCTCCTTGCTGGCCTGGTTAGAGGTGTTGAGCTGCTCCATTGCCTCAGAGAGAGCCAAGTGCCGCACTTTTGTGCAGAAACACTTCATTAGCCCTGCTTTGCACAGCTGCAGCTACTGGGGTTGGTGGGGTGCCGCTTTCTGCACTTGGAAATGAGCAGAGTCAGTGATGGGACAGGGCAGGGCATTCCCTACCTGTGCCCATTGGGAAATCTTCCTGTCCCCACTGTGTCATGTCCCGCTCCTCAGTGACATCCCGGCCAGCCTGGCACATGGAACTCCCCGTTTCCAAGGACACGTGGCCATTGTCACCGGCACAGGGCAGGACAGCTCAGAGCCTTTGGCGGCTGCAGCGAGAGCGGGGGTGTCAGAGCCACAGCGAGTGTTGTTCCAACTTGACTGGTTCCAGCACCCGTTGTTCAAGAGCCCAATCCACCCACTGAGTGGTGGTAATTATTTACAGTTCTGTGCAGAAAGGGGGGCTCAGGGACAAATTTACAAAGGCAGCAGCAGGAGAACCCAGAGTGTTTGAGTATTTATACACTTGAGCAAAGAAAGGAATTAGTGTTCATTGACTGCAAGTTCCCTAGTTGTCTTCATAATGAGTATTCTGTCTGCTGTTGGGTAACGATCCTCTCACTTCTCATGCTCATTAGTCTGCATGCTCAGTCTCTCCCTTCTTCTTAGTGAGAGGTTCCTTGAGTGGGTGGCCATGGTCTGCCCCTGCTGGAATGGCCTTTTTTCCCTGACGGAGCTGATTCAGCACAGTTGTTGTATTGCCTTTATCAGTTTGTTCCTTTTTTCGGAGATCCCGCCCTGTGTCTGAGGTCACTGAAGCCCGTGAAGCCCTGCACCTCAACAAGGCAATTCAGGCAAGAAGTCACCTGCCTTTCCAAGGCCTGGCCATCGCTTCCAGCTTGTTGGCTACTTCTTGTTTCATGGCAATCATCTCCCTTCTTCTTGATGAGCCTTGGAAGCCACAAAGGCAAGCATCCAGGGGCAGATTTTCCTAAGAAATATTTTGCATTGTGCAGATTTTTAGCAGGATCAGTGTGTGTGTGGGAGCTGGAGCAGCCGAGGCAGAGCGGGATGGCAGAGCTGCGGGCCTGGGCAGGATCCAGTGAGTTCCGCAGGGCCCCAGTCCGCACTGCGTCCCACAGGGTCCCCACCAGCACTGCCATGCCCGTCAGGGTGAGCCAGAGGTGCCAGGAGCAAGAGGTGAGGGGCAGGTGTGGGGCTCTGCGGGTTGGCAGCGGGTGGGGGCTTGGCCATGGTGTTGGTGTCAGGTGCTGCTGTGCCCGCGGGACCTGTTGGGCAGGGCTGGGGCCCCACTGGTGCTCCAAGGGCCCCTTTGAGGCAGCTGCCCTGGGGGAAGTGACTCACAGAGATGACAGGGAGGAGGTGTTTGTGGAAGAGGGAGGTTGCTGTCATGGATTCAGGTGTGATTCAGGGATGACTCAGAGGAGGTGCCGATGAAAGTCAAATATTCTCTATGCTTGACACTCAGGAAATTCATGCTCTGGGCATGGTTCACGGCCAAAATGCATGGATTTCTCATGGTTCCTTGTTGGTACTAACCAAATATGTCAGGATAAAGGAAACGCTGTAAAATTATTTTTCAGTATTAGGAGTAGCCTTTACTTTATTCCTAGCTGTGATGCATTGTGGAGAACTGCACCCACATGCACACCCATTTTAAAGCTTTTCCAGTTATTGATACAGTTTTGTTAAACAAAGAAATTAATCTTCCTTGCTTCTAAATTACAGAATTCCTTCTAAAAAGTAATATTCTATCGTCTATTAGGTATTGATGACTCCCTTCTCATGTTAATTATTTCACAATTTTCAATCCAATTATCATGGCTTTTTAGATTTTAACTCAGCCAAGTTTGCCTTCAGAATGAAGTAGTTGGACAGCAGTAGTTGTACTTGTTAAAAAAATAATCTAATGCCAATAGACATTTGAGTGATTTTTGACTTCCAATGGAACATGTCATAATCTGTATTAAATGATGAGTTCAGTCAGGCACCCAAATTTTGTAACATCTGTCTAATTTAGGATTAACTGTTTCCTGTAACTTAGGATAAACTGTATCCATCTATGGAAATAATTGCATATAGAGCTGAGGAAAAGAGAAAGGGTTTTGGTGCCTGTTGCAGTTGAAATTCATCTTTTTGCAGTTGAAGTTGTTCTTGGAGCTGACTCCAGGATGTGCTTCCTTAATGCCAAATAAATCCCAGTGTCAGGTGCTGCCCTGACTTTCAAATCTTTTGTGACCCTCTCTGGATTTTTAGCTTAGCACTGACCAGTTCAATTGTACTCAGGCACTTGATTTCAAGGGAAGCCTGTGCCTATAAATTCCAGCAATTGGGACAGGATGACTTGCTACTGGAGGGCTTGGCTGCATTAGAGGCTAATTGAGGGTTGCTCTCTCAGGGCACTTTTGTAGCCGGCTGCTTTCAGAGGGAGAACTGTGTCAAAGCAGATCTTTTTGGTGATGTGACAGCAAACCTTTGCAAATATAGCTCTTGTTTAAAATGGATGGCCTAGTTAATCAGCAGAAATGGAGATTAGGCTGAAGATTTTACAGAAAATTTCTTTCTCATTTTAGTCAAATACCAGCAAGGCGTCGCACAATGGAAGTGTGCAGGCTGTCAAATTGTATAACTCACTTGGAGGTATGGTTGCCTTTCATAGTTTGCTCAATGTCCGTAAGATTTTCAACTTGGTCATTCATTTTTGCAGCATATTCATTGGAAAGGGGATCTCTTGTGTTCAGAGATCTCAACATCTCAACCTGGAGGTGGTTTCCCCTCAGGTCAGACTTGTAGTCTCTTGTCACTGCATTCAGCCACTGGCTTGTTTTCCCCTGAGAAAGCCTGCCAGTCCTTCCTTGTTCCCATACTGCTTGATGGGTTGGAATTTGGAGCATGGAGGTCAAAGTTTGGACCACCTTATGTGCTTAAATTCATAGTCTTGGTAGCTAAGATTTTGGTTTTGGAACAACTAGGCACTGTCATTATCCATTAAATTTAATCGGAAATTGAATGGAAATTACCTTAAGGAAGTCACATACAGAATTTCATAAGGTCAATATAGAAAACCATGCTTGATTTGTTTTTTGTCTTGGTCATTAATAAGTTTGCCAAAATCCTGCATTAGGTTCTTTTCAAGGAAAGTGAAAGGAAGATATTGATGTCATCTTGCCCACCAATACCAGCATTTCCCACAAAGCTCAGTGTGCTTAGGAGGTGCCATTTGTATTAATCTGTTCTGAGTGCTGTTTCCCCAAGGAGCCTGGCTCCAGGCAGACGCCAGGTGCACATTCCCCTTCCAGGCACTCAGTGGTGCTGCCTGCAGCAGTGAGCTGAGCCAGGCCCAGCCAGCTGCCCTGAGCAAAACAGGCTCTGACCTGGCTGTGGCTGCAGTCACCTGCCTGCAGGGACATCCCTGCCCCTGCAAGTGCAGCTCTTGCTCTGCCTTAGCCTAGTGCAGAGCATTTTTGGGCAGCATCATGGTGGCTTTTTGGAGAGACAAAATTCAACTTCTGAGGTTCTCATTGGGGAGGTTCTGTTTCACATGTGAGTGATGATTTGTGCGATTCTTGATGGTGGTCTGCATAGATCCTAAGGGAATATTCAACTTTGAATACCAGGCATGTGAGGACTGGCATTAGAGAGTCAATTGTGGAACTTGGTGTCACATCTGCTTTGGGCTGGCACAGAGAAATTCAGGTGAGACAGGTCTTGTTGCTGGTAGGGTACAGGGTGCCTTTGCAATATGATCCATACAGGACCAGTTAGGGACTAGGTTTCTTCACAGAATCAGAGAATATGTGAGTTCAAAGGAATTCCACAAGGATACTCAAAATCAGCTCTGTCCCCAAGATATGCATCATCATTTTAAATCAACTCTTTTGCCTTCTGTCAACTTCCCATTTGACAATCTTTTTCTGCTTTCCTTTCCTTTGGGAAAACAAGCAGATGTGAGGACAGCCAAACCAAACACTTCATGTCCTGCCCCTGAAGACAAAAGAACAAAGCCCATGAAGCCTGCAGAGAATGAACAGAATCCTTGCAGTGCTGTTTATCGGCGACCCTACAGGGACAGGGTGATTCATTTACTTGCTCTGAGGACTTACAAGAAGCCAGAGTTACTTGCTCACTTGCAGAGAGATGGAGTCATGCAAAAGGACAAGGGCACCCTTGCAAAGATCCTTCAGCAGGTGAGATTGTGGAGTTTGTGCCAGCATTATTTCAACCACACTATTCTTTTGTTCCTAATTGTCACTTGTTCCTCCACTCATTAAATTAGATACTAGTGAACAAGGTAGGAGATGCTCCCTGTTAAAGTTTTTCCATCAGCTTCATCCTGTGGTCATGTACTGTAAGCCCATGTGACAAAAAGAGAAAAAAACTTCAAAACTATTGGGGCATTGCTGTTTGTCTAGAATGGCTGGCAGTGAGTAACACTTTGTAATGTTGTTGTTTCTCATGCCTTATTCCATTCTCTTTCTCTTCCATGCGCTGTTTAACTGCTTCCCTATGGGAGTAACTTCCCAGGGGTTCCTTGATTGTGTGAAATGGTTTGTTGTGGCACTTAAAATTTCCTGGGAGAAGTTCCAGAGCAGAGGAGTTCAGGAACTGCAGAGGCCAGTATTTCATTTGAACACAGTTAGTGGCCTCTCTATAGTACTTGGCTTCTCTGGGATCTGTGGGGATTTTCTTCCAGGGGTGTTCCAGGCACATCCTCCATGATAAAGATGGTAGCCAAATTTTGAGAAGAGGGTTTCTTTGTTGTCATGTGAATTAAATCTCCATCTTCCTTGGAACTATTTTATCCATTAAATTCTGAGTGCTCCTCTGAATTCCATGGTTATTTTGATATTACCGCCAACAATAGGATGCACAAGCATTGAAAGATACAGTGTTTTTTTCCTTACTTTTTCAATATGCGCTGCTTTCCTAGGCTCTTACTGAATTATGCCAGCATTATTATATCAAGTATGAACATTTTTTCTTCAGCTAGGGAACCAGTTTCTTGGAACCTAGTCAAGGGATGAAAATTCAATACAGTTTCAGTTGATCCCACAGTGACTTTTAAGAACTCATTCCCTGAACCTGTGAAGTGTGTTGCTGGGTTTGCCCAGGGCAGTGGAAGGGCTTTTTTACCTTGAAGACATTCACAATATAATAGAGCCATGTTCTACTGTCCCAACTCTATTAGCCTATTTAGATTTCAAGTTGATTATGAATTTTCAAAGCTCAGCTCCTTAGAAGGTAAAGGATGAACAGATTTTTTCCTGTTCCATTGCAATGTTTGAGGAGATTTCCCTGGAGTGTGTGTACTGTATGAGGTGTGAACTGCCACAGGGTCCAGGTTTGCATTCTGAAAGTTCTGCGTGAGCAGCCCTGCAGCCTGAAATGCCTTGCTCAGGCTTTTGTAGATATAAGAGCAAGTTGGGGTTTATTTTGTGTAAATCTCAACTGGGCATTGTGAGCTTGCTGAGATGTGGCAGACACACACTTTCTTCCCTTCCAACACAACCTGAGTTCTGCTTCTAAGGAGTCAATCCCTGATTCTGGGTGTCTTTGCTACTTCGAGTATTTTTTCAGGTGTGTAAAAATTGACATCAACACACATGTAAATTATCTACGTTTATGATGTTTTCCAGGACAAAACAAATGTCAAAGTTGTGACAGATGTTGGTGGTGTGTTAGATGAGTTATTCAGTGTGTTTCAGGGGTCAAATTGATGGAGACTTTCCCAATGGGCTTTTCTGTGGAACTCTGAGCAGGTGTCAGGTGATGAAGTCTAAACCTGAACTTTTGGTGTCAGTTGTCCTGAAGTTTTACTACCTAGTTTTACCTTTTTGAGTATACATTGTGTTTGTCTTGAGGAAGGTATGATCCTCAATTGGTTTCAAAGGAATACAGCAAAGCATGTGCACGGCCTTCTCATGGCAGAACTTTGCTGGAGTGAACCCTGTCTCTGCCACATGAAGAGGGACTCTGGGCCTGAACCCCTCTCCTTACACATTGTAGCTCTCAATGTTGTTTTCAAAGGAACACTTGCTAGATATGAATGGAGATATTGGGTTGTTTCCAATTGGTGAAACATTAATGTGGCTGTACACTCATGTGATAGAGGAATAATCAAGCTCTGAACAAAAAGATATAATTGGTTGAGACTGGGTTCTCACAATCCGCTGTTCAGGACCAATCATATTTCTCTAGTTTGCATGCAGCAAGCATAATAAAGATTTGTTTCCTACATGTCTGCCTGTAGGTAGCCAAGTGGAATGCAAAGGATAATTCCTTCAGTCTGAAGGAACATCTGTTTCAAACCCTTCAGACTGATTGGCCTGGCTACACTGAAGTAGACAGACAGAAGTTGAAGTTAATACTCTCTAGGTAAGTTCAGTCTCTCAGAGAAAGGAAAAACCAAAATATTCCTGGTTAATGAAGCTTAGATTGTTAGAACATGGTGAAGGTGGCAGGGACCTGCCAGGATCCTGGCCCTGCACAGGACACCATGAGAAGCACAGCAGGTGCCCAAGAGTGTTGTCCAAAGACTTCTTGAAGCTTCCTGCAGTGGCCACTGGCCTGGGGAGATTGTTGCAGGGCTCAAGCACCCTCTGGGCCATGAATGGTTTCCTGATATCCTGCCTGAAGCTCTCTCAACTCAGCTTCATGCTGTTTCCTTGAGTCATGACACTGAAGGACTCTGTTTTCCCTGCAAGGAAAGAACTACGGCAGTTGATATTTAGGCCTTATAACACGAAATATTGGACCATCCATACAGAAAATCAGCTCCATCTCTGAACCTCACCAGCAGCAGCCAAGTGACATCTCCAGGGCCTTCTGAGAGAGATGCTGCAGCAAGACCTGCTCAGGTATTTTGTGCATTTTTAACATTCTGGACTGTATGGTAAATTTTAGCAGACTTGCTGGTGGCATAAAATTGTCATGTGAATGTACAGGACCTTCCCATTTGGGGAAGCCTTTGATGGAGCTCCTGGAGGGAGTGTCTTTCTCCCCAAGTATTTTAGCTACAGACTTGAAGTAGGACTTGCTGAGTGCTAAGATGGGAAAGTGGGAATGAGATAGTGTCTGTATTTACCTGCAGTACTTCTGGTTTGAATTCTCTTTTTAGTGAAGAAAAATGAGTGTTCAAGCTAGCCCAGTTCAGAAAAACTACTTTTTCAGATTGGGAGCAAAGTCTGATCCTGATCATAAGTTAATGGATGAATTTTTTTGTTATTGATGCAGAAACGGCCTCTGGCTTCTGACTGTACCAGTCCTGTGATGAGCAAGAAGAGGAGAATTGCCCACCAGCCCAGTCATGTCCGGCCAGCAGCTGGTGGCCACTTCTCTTCCTTCCTTCTGCCCTCCACATCTCTGTTCTCTTTGGACATGTCTCCAAGTGCCGGCTCTGTTTCCCCGTGCACCCATGTGGTGCAGCAAACAGAGAAATTTCAGAGTTCCAGCATCCCAGCACCTGCCACGGAGCAGGAGGAGATGCCCAGTTCAAGCGGGGAGAAAAATGAATTTGGGAGGCTGAAGAAGTGGCATCACTTGGATTTCGATGAAGGTATTGATGTGCTGGTTTTCCTGTCTTCTGTGTAGATAACTGTGGTGTAAAGATTTGGTAATTCAGAGAAGCTTCTTCCCAAATTAAGGTGCAAGCATGACTCTTTTTCACAGTCAATAGTAAAAATGTTATTGAACAGTAAATGCAAACTAGGGAGATAGAAAGAAATGAGAGAAGAGAGGCAGGGTTAGGGGAAGAGAGAGACATTAGGTGGGGAGATATCATCACCACATCGTGTCTCTGTTGTCCAGCCCGTCCTTCCTCACCCTTGGTGTTCTCTGTGGCGGGGGTCCCCAAATCTCTCTGGAGGTACCACCTTTATGCTATCCAAGATTCTAGTATCCACAGGGTGGTCACAGCTGTCCCCACATCTTGGGCTAGAATACATGTAAGCACTGATTTTCCTTACCCACAGTCTCTACAGTGGAGGTTTTGGTCTGGTGTCCTAATTCCAAACCTTCACCTCTGTTAGGCCAAGGCTTCATGCTTTTCTTCTTGCCAATTGTGCTTCTCTCAAATTCCTGTTGTGGTGGCTTATCTTATGGGAACATCCTTCTTTGACTGCATTCTGAAATAGTTAATTTTGTCCTTGCACCTTATGAAAAGAGAGCTCTGAAAGTGGGCACTGGATACATGGAGGCACTGCTCTACATGACTGCTCTGCCATTTTCCCCGCTGTCTGGTCATGAAAAATCAAAATATTTTTTTTCTGCCATCACATAAGATTTTGACTCTTGGTTTAAAAGACAATAACAGCAAAGCCCAGAACCTGTGCTGCTGGATCCTTGTGGAAAACTACAACAAAACTACAATTTCTAAACTCATTTTTTAAAATCTTTTTCTTTAAGTAGTGCAAAACCAATGAAGAACAATGAAATCTAAATTAGATTTTTGTTGTGAGAAGGTGGTTAAAAGGAAGAGCCAGGCACTAGAAAGCCAATGGGAATGGATTCTTTTCTTTCCATCTGATTTCTACTCAACTGAAAGTAAACTGAGAAAGCACTTTCTCCATTAGAAGATTTTCAAGACTGCATGCTGAAGGCAGAAACCTGTCAAACATGTAATGCAAACTGGTTGACTGAAACATGTCGATCAAATCTCAGTGATTCCATGGTTGTTCATTAAACTCAGCCTTTTCATGGAAACTGCAAAAGCTGCAAAACCTAGGCTGTGGTTTCCTGGAGTTCTACTTTTAACTGGGCTGGGAGTTTTCTCTCCATCCCTGCTGCAGAATTTCATTTTTCAAAAGCTCTGGAAGTGGTACAGATTGAAAACAACATTGAAAAGTTGAACAGAAATGCATAAAGAACGCTTGATTTCTGATGACAGGGACACACCCAGCAGGGCAGAGTTCAGTTTCTTTGTTAAATCTGGGGTTTGTCCCTTTTGGAGGTTGACCTTGCAAATTCCAAGTTGGGTTCAGCCTGGAGGCAGGTTTGGAGTGTGTAGATGCCTCTTGCAAGTGGTGGTGTGATTGTAGAGACGGGAGCTTTGAGATGGTCTTCCCACATTTCTTCTGGACATACACACGGTACCTGCAAACCCTGGGATACCTTTGGAAGGATTTTTGCTTGAATCTATAAACATGTGAGCAGCTTTCTTCAGGAGTCCGTTCCCTAATTCTGCCCAGCTGGTGGAGGAAATTCTGTTCTGTGTTTCAAGTTGGGGCGGAGGCTGAAGCTTTCACATGGACCGAGGCATGAGTGCAAATGCACTTTTGGAAATGAAATGCTCACAGCAAAGCTGTTCTTCCAAGTTGTATTGAACATACAGTGACTATTGGTATTTCTGTCCAGTTGTATTGGCACTTCTACACTTCTTTTTATACTTCTGCTATGCAACTAAAATCAACAAAAGCGAGTGGAACATCCTATAACAGCTCTTTCCTCAAGAATTGAAGCTCAGGGAGTTTAAACATTGTCAGGAGTGGCTGAGTTTTAACAAGACTACTTTGTGTAAACAATGACAATGGAAACTCATAAGGAATGTAATGAATCGCATGGGATTTTTCTGCTTGGCACAAGACCTGAAATGGAAAGCAGAGAGAGATTACCAAGGTCCTGAGTATTCCTTCCTGTTTCAGCAGACTTTTCCTTATGGCGGTTCTTTTTAATATCATCATAATTACTGAATATTTCTTTGGAAAGAGGGCTTGAGGTTATATGTGCAATGCTTCCCAAATGCCTTTACCAATAGGCAAAGTGAAATTCACAAGTGCAGGTTTTTTTCCAACTCTGTCTTGCCACGTTAATGAGGAGCACTGAGTTTTGGCTGCAGGGTGTTAGAGGCTTAGTGCCAGTAAGCCCTATAGAATGGAATTGGCTTTCCTGCTGACAAGAGTGCAGGCACTCATTGGAACTTTGCCCCTCTGGAATTGGCAGGGAAGTGGGGATAAAAGCATGGCATTAGAAGAACTTTACCTTTCTTCTTAATTTTTTGTGAGAACCTCCATGTTGATCTCTCTCTAGTTGTCTTTTGAAGCTGCATCTTTTGCTGCATGACTTGAATGGCTGTGCAGATGCCACCTCATGCCTTCAAATAAGAAAAGCTGAGCTGGGGCTAACACTGTGGGAATGCACAACCTGTAGAAAAAAGTGGCCATTCCATCTTTCTAATTTCCAGGAATGGGTTTTTTGGAGGTTGTGTCTGTTGTAATATTAAATGCTGTTGCTTCTTGTGAATAATTAGCTGTGAGACGAACACTCTGAAGGACTTTTTCAAGACTGTCCAATGGCGATCTTTTGACTTTTTGAAGATATCCTGAGGAAGGGTGTCAAAATTCTGCTTCTCTGCAGGAGCAAGAAAAGATACTTCCATTGCCACCACATGCTCTGCAACAGTCAACCAACCAGACTACCTGAAGTGAGTAAAGTAGCCATTAACTCTTGCCACTTTCAGTTGGGTGTAGTGTCCAGCTCTTTCCTGTGCTGCAAGGATGAGTTTGAGCGGGTTTAGTTGTGCCTGGAAGGCTCAGAGCAGAGATGAACACGGAAGTGTGTTAGGCCCGGACGGGCCCTCTCTTCCTGCAGTGCAGTTGCACAGGCTCAGCTGCAGCAGTGGTGCTGCATCCCCTCATCAAATTTGCAGTGCAGGGGAGGAGGGAGAAGTGTGTGAGTGCGTGTGTGTGTCTCTGTGTGTGTGTGTGCGTTTGTGTGTGTGTGTGGTATAAAGGACTGGACGTTGCTGCCAGCTTGTGTGAGAGCAGGGATGTTGTCAAGGGCAGTCAGGCCTCCTGCAGCTCTGGGGCTCTGGGGCAGCTGCGGCCTTTGGAGCAGGTGTGGCAAGGCCCTGGCTCACATTGCTCCGGTGCCTCCCAAAATGTTGCAAGGCATCTGTAGTTTTCTTTTCAAACTCATCCTGCACACTCATCAGGTGTATCTGGCCTGGGATGCATCCTTGGCACAAACTGTTGTCTGTCTTGGGACTGAACTTCAACTTGTTGAGGATTTACTGCTTGTAAATATTAATCTCAGGATGGTTTGAATTGTTTATTCCCATGTGAATGGTGTTAATGTCATCCAAAAAGAACCAGGTCTTCAGGCCCAGAGGAGGAGAAGCATTGGTGTGAGAGTGTTGGAAAATGGCATCTATTGTTCTCATTACCACTTCATCCAGATTTTTCTCATGAGCTTGACAAATGTCATGGCTGTTGATTTGAGGGAGAAGGGAATAAAGAAGGTTTGCCCTCATCAGTGGCTTTAGGCATTAATGAATTTTTCCCTCCTTAGGAGCAGATGCTGTTTGGGTAGTAGTTTTAGTTTCAGGCTGATACAGAGACTGTTTTTGTGGATATATTACGAATGCCTCAGTTCCATGGTCAGTGATGTAACTGCTTTCCGCTTGAATAATCAGATATTATTATTAACTCTGCCATTAGACAGACAAGAATGTAGCTCAAAAGTCCAACTCTGTGCACTCAACTCCATAAATGTAGTCCCTGACAAATATGTTTTACAGATGTATTGTCACAGGTAAATATAACTAAACTAAGCTTCTCCTACATAAGAAGAGATTATAATTTAGTAATGTATCTCCTCTCCCTGAAGCTGCTGGGTTTGTTTGTACTTTGATATTTGAAATGCGGGCGTATGTTTTCTAAGTGAGCTCCACTTGCTAATGAAGAAAACCTCCACAATGTAAACTATTAGTAACTAAGTGTCATTGAAATGTGACAGATTCCTAGAGTTACCTGACTGCATTCTCTTGAAGCACATGAGCTTGAAAGTAGAAACTGTCAGCCCCAGAGCATCAGACTCAAAGCTTGGGTGTCTGTGTTTGGCATTACTCTGTGCTTGGTGTAATATTACACATGTGTTTTGTGGACTAGAAACATACTGGAATGTTCTCTTAGAGTTCACTCATAGAAAAATGGCCTCATTTTTTCCCATTAGAAAATACGTAGCCATTGTGTCCTTGGAGCAACGCCAGCGCTACAAGGATGAATTCAATGCAGAGTATGAGGAATACCGGAATTTACATTCTCTGATTGACAAGACCACAAAGAAGTTCAGACAGTTTCAGGAGCAATGGAAGTCTCTGACTCCAGGCTCTGAAGCCTATCAGGTAAAGAAGGACAAAACCATGAAGGCTGTGCTTCATCATCACAGCACAGCAGTGTTTTTGATTCCCTGCAACTGCTCAGAGAAACAATGGGAACCTGCAGAATTGGCATATATGCTCAGACACTGCTTGGGCTGGGTCTGATTTTTGCAAGACTTGCCCCAAAATGCCTATTTTGAGCTGTCTATGAAGAAACAGTAAGGGGAGAGGTGTCCCAAGCAGAGTCTTAGAGCATGGGCTCCTTCTGTTGGCTATTGAGAGGCTTAATTGCAGATCTTGGGTGATGCTGGTTGAGGGAGATTTGTTCTTGCAAATGTCCCAGAAGAGGAGTGACTGACAGAGAAGAAAATGTCTAGAGTCAGACTGAATGAACTTTTAGTGTTTTACCAAAGTTTGCATTTCATGCTGGTGGTGAAACAATCTTCATCTTTTTCTCTTGTAGAGGCTGCATCATCAAATCCTAGCAGATTATCAGCAGTTACAACAGGTACGTGTGACACCAGAGCTGCAGGGCCATGGTAACTGCTGAGTCTGCCTCAAGGCTTTTTTAAAGCAAAGGACATCAGACTCTAGACTCTGCGGAAGTGTTTGCATGCCCTAATTTGGCTTTCTCCTTCACAGGGTAGCCCCAGCTACTCTGAAATGAAGAGCAGGTGCCTGTACCTCCACAAAAAGCTGGCCCATATTCAGAGGCGCATTTCTGAATTTGACCAGCTGTAAGTGGAATACTGGCACCAGGCATCTGCTTCAGCCTGATGAAATCCGTGATCCCTGGATTTTTTATTTCAACTAGAAGATTAGGTTTTAGGATTATTTAAGTTAGTATTGAACAGTAGGTTCTGTTAGCACTGACCCGCAGAATATTTCTTAAAAGTGTAGGATTAGTTCAAAGAAGTTTAGTAAGTTTAAGAAGTCGAAAGATGAATGTATTGAAATTTGACAATAAAAAAATCTCACTATTTGTAATTCTTTCTCTCATTGTTGCTTCTATGATATTTGGAGTGGGTTTCTTCTGGTCAATTCTGTTCTTCAAGTCTTAAGTTTGTCCACTGAAATAAATTTATCAGTAGAGGGTGGGAGCCCCACTACCTGTACTATGAAGCTGTGCTCCGTGTAAGAATAGATTGTGGCCAATGGAAATTGTTTAGAATAAGTAGAGGGGTGTGTTTTGCCCTTTCCTGTAAGGCAAACACTTTGCCTGAGTGGTCAAAGGCTTAGAAGTTTGTATAACCCCCTCCCCAAATGACTTTGTTTAGGAGGGTTACAGACGAGCGCACATAGGCTGCTCTAAGGTGTCAGCTGGAGCAGCTCTCAGGACTGCTTGTAAATCATGGCCTTACCTTTTCAGGGAGCCAAGGACTATCCAGATCTTTGCAAGAGTTTTGTAAAACATGTGGAAGAAGTGTTGGAGGCAAGGTACTTCATTGGGTTTTAAAGAGAAATTGGGTTCAAGTGTCCCGAAAGGAATATCTAGTTTTCTCGAAACTAGTCTGTCACAACCCATCTTTCTAGAGATACACAAATGTTAATTCCTGTACAGACCTATGGGGTCTTTGAAGTCTAGACCCTTTCCTAAGTTTCTTATCAGGAAAAATATTCAGCTTACAGGCTAGAGGTGTGGCCAGCATTGCCAGAACCTTCTTTTGGGAGAGATATGAAATTGACTGCGGGAGGATAACGTTTGGGAACACTCAGTAGAGCCTTCATCCTTGGAGAGTATTCTACAAATTCCTGAATAATCTGTCTGCCAACGATGTTGAGTCCCCATTGCTGAGAATTCTTGGGCATTTTGAGATTGAACACCTGAGCCATTGTTGCCCTTCTGTTCTCCTTCAAGTGAAGTTCATTAAAATGTCACCTCTTACACCCTGAGACTTGGGTGCTTTTTTGCCAGGGTCAGGGGCTGCTGCTGCAGCTCTGCAGTGCAGCAGCCCCAGGAACGCTGCTGTGGGGGACATGGGGTGAATTGTGCTGGGGAGCCTCCCCTTGGCCTGGTGGCTGCTGCTGGTTGAAAGAGCGTGCAAGAGTGCTGCTGGCCAAAGTGTGGGCTGTGAGTGAGGATTTTTCATAGTTACCTCTTCATGACTTATCTTGTATTTTATAGAATTTCTTCTAACTAATTGAACACAGCAAGAAACAAGTATTATTTCCAAGCTTTACAAATCTAAGTTTCAAATTCTCGTCTATATTTTCCTCTCCAGATCCTTGTGAGTTGGGGCAGACTTTCCTTGGGGGAAGGTGTATCAATATACTGGTCCAATTCCCTTTTATTGAGGCAGGACTGCCTAGCAGTACTTCAAATGGTTCTTTCAACTTTTCTTTAGGTGCCTTGTTGCTGTGATTTCTGATATAGACAGTGTCCCCAGGTTGATGAGGAGGTACCTGATTATCTCAAGACATCAGGGATGGTAATACCCGAAATTTCTGCAGAGATGAGAACACTTTGCCAAAAGATCATAAAAAGGGACTTAAATTATTATTTCCTATCATATGACCTTCTCTAGATTAGGATTGTGACTTGCTAAGGTCTTCCATAGAGCATTTCCTGTGGGGTCAGGTTTTCTTTAGAAGCCACTGGAATTCTGATTCTCACTAGTGCAAGGGGAACTTCTTGTGGCCTGCTGTGTGATTTCCTGGCAAATTTTAGTCATTTCTGTCTTTGTAGGCTCTGATTTGTTCTCTCAATCTCGCTGCTGGTGTAAGACTTCCATGTGCTAAGTAGGTCTCTCTTAACTGGGAGTGTTTCACATAAAGTTTGTACAGTTTCAACTATGAAATGCCACTCCAATTCTGATGACATACCAAAAGGGATCCCTAAACTTGGTAGCATTTCTTTTATTATTACTTGAGGTATGTCTCTAGTTTTGTTTGGTGTGACAAGGAAAAGTCTCTGGCCATGCAGATAATGAGCCTACCTATACCCTATACCCTTCTTGCTGAGGGAAGTCAGAAAATAGTCTTTGGCATTAATCTCCTGCACTACTTCCCTTTTATTGGATCCCTACGGGCAGTCTTTTGTAAAGCTGTGCATTGATCTGTAAGCAGATTTTTCATTTCACTTTTCACAGTCTCTGTCAGCCAAATACCAAGTAGCTGCCTTTCCAATATTGTCTACTGTACCTTCAATACCCCAATGGGTTTCTTTATGTTTGTCTTCTCAAGTTTAAGTCATTATTGCTTGAGGAACTCTAACATGTTGATTTGTTGCTGCCCACCATCCTTCAGGACCAAATTAGAAAATTAAGGCATTTGAAGAATGATTGTTTTCACCACGGTGTTCTGGGATGGATTTGGAAAGGTTCACAATTTGGAAAGAATTGCCAGCAAGACGCTTTGTTCTGCCACCTCTCTAGCAGTTTGCTTTGCTTATCAGTCTCCTGGGTTTGCCTGAACTGGTGAGCTTTGCAGTGCATTATTGCTACTTCAGCAGGAAACGGTATGGTCCCCAACTCTATGGTCCTCTGCTGTCTATATTTGATTGGAGATGCTGATTCCTTGCAGAAGGATTGAGGAACACAGCAGAGTTCAAGGCAGTAGCAGTCCTTAGCACCACGTCTTTTGTTCCAGGAGTACCCCCTGTTACTTTAGGAAAACCAGTGAGCTCCTTTTTGCTCTACACCAGACATAAACATGTGCAGGACATTAATTGCTTTTTTCCCCCCCATTTATTTTCCAGCTTATTCTATCAAAAGAATAGCCTCATCTCTGGTGGCTCCTGCTCTGAGGTGCACTGGCCATCCCTCAAGTACAATGTTTAGTTCTTTTTTATGAAATACACTCTTTTGAACTGGCTTCTTTCATAGATTCCCAGACCTTGATCTAACTGCGAGGAAAGGCACTCATGTATGAACAGCACAAAAGGATCAGTCAAATCTGGTAACTCCAGGGCAGCAGCTGTCATCAATGTCTTTTTAAAATATGGAAAGACTGTCTGACATTCCAGAGTCCAGAGTCCCCTTTGATTCCTTTCATGGTTCGTACAAAGGCTTTCCCAATAGTTCATAAATGGGGATGCCTAATAAACACAACTCATTCCCAAAAAGCGACACAGTTCTTTTATAGATGTTGGTTCTGGTGTTGTCAAATTTGCTTCCTTCCTTTCCATCCCCAGACTACACTGACCTTGTGAGTGTGGAAGCCAGGAAATCAGACTTGGGCAGATATGGACATGGTCTTGAAGACAAAGACTATATTTTATGACATGAGAAATGAGCTTTGGATGGTAATATTCAGGGCATTATCAAGGAAATGCTTTTATTCCCTCTCCCAGTAATGATTGGACAAGGGTTTTTTTGGTGCCAGTGGAGTGAAATCAGAAATTAGATTGGGTATGGGGAAAATGGAAGTCAAATGATCATAAACTGAGTATAAAATATTTCTCCAGATGTGTCAGTAATTTCAATGGCCACCTGCAGTCAGCACAACTGTCAGCCTGGAATTGTGCTCATGGTCCTCCCTGGCCTTTCCATGTCAGCTCCTCCGGCAGAGCACCTGGGGGCCTGGGCATGCTGCTGGTTTGTTTCCTTTGAGGAGACTGGAGTGAAGAAAGGTCGGGGGGTTGTGTCAAAGAGATGATATTTGAGTGACCATGTACGTGCTGGAAGCCTCACAGACTGATGGGCCCATGACAGGATGGCCCAGAGCTGGCAGGGCAGGCCTTGCTGGCCTGGTTAGAGGTGTTGAGCTGCTCCTTTGCCTCAGAGAGAGCCAAGTGCAGCACTTCTGTGCAGAAACATTTCATTAGCCCTGCTTTGCACAGCTGCAGCTACTGGGGTTGGTGGGGTGCCGCTTTCTGCACTTGGAAATGAGCAGAGTCAGTGATGGGACAGGGCAGGGCATTCCCTACCTGTGCCCATTGGGAAATCTTCCTGTCCCCACTGTGTCACGTCCCGCTCCTCAGTGACATCCCGGCCAGCCTGGCACATGGAACTCCCCGTTTCCAAGGACACGTAGCCATTGTCACTGGCACAGGGCAGGACAGCTCAGAGCCTTTGGCGGCTGCAGCAAGACCGGGGGTGTCAGAGCCACAGCGAGTGTTGTTCCAACTTGGCTGGTTCCAGCACCCGTTGTTCAAGAGCCCAATCCACCCACTGAGTGGTGGTAATTATTTACAGTTCTGTGCAGAAAGGGGGGCTCAGGGACAAATTTACAAAGGCAGCAGCAGGAGAACCCAGAGTGTTTGAGTATTTATACACTTGAGCAAAGAAAGGAATTAGTGTTCATTGACTGCAAGTTCCCTAGTTGTCTTCATAATGAGTATTCTGTCTGCTGTTGGGTAACGATCCTCTCACTTCTCATGCTCATTAGTCTGCATGCTCAGTCTCTCCCTTCTTCTTAGTGAGATGTTTCTTGAGTGGGTGGCCATGGTCTGCCCCTGCTGGAATGGCCTTTTTTCCCTGACGGAGCTGATTCAGCACAGTTGTTGCATTGCCTTTATCAGTTTGTTCCTTTTCTTGAGATTTCTACCAAATGTCCTTGTGTCCATAAATTCTGCATTCTTTGTGTCACGCATCGGTGGTGCATCCTTGTTCCCAAGCCTTGCTGACCTGCCCTGTGTCTGAGGTCACTGAAGCCTGTGAAGCCCTGCACCTCAACAAGGCAATTCAGGCAAGGAGTCACCTGCCTTTCCAAGGCCTGGCCATCGCTTCCAGCTTGTTGGCTACTTCTTGTTTCATGGCAATCATCTCCCTTCTTCTTGATGAGCCTTGGAAGCCACAAAG